CGTGTGAGGGGTGTGTCAAAAGGTGGAGCTCCCTATGGGGCCACGGAGCGCGTGAGGAGAGTGTCAAAATGGGGCGGCGCCGCCATGCGGGCTGCGCCACTGGGACCTTAGTTGGAACCCCCTATGGGGCCACGGAACGTGTGAGGGGTGTGCCGAAACAGAGACATGCGGAGAGCCAAGGCAAGGATGGGGAGGAGGGAGGAGGAGGAGGAGGAGGAGGAGGAGGAGGAGGAGGAGGAGGAGGAGGAGGAGCAGCAGGAGGAGGAGCAGGAGGAGGAGGAGGAGGAGGAGGAGGAGGAGGAGGAGGAGGAGGAAAGGAGGAGGAGGAGGAAGAGGAGGAGGAGGAGGAGGAGGAGGAGGAGGAGGAGGAGGAGGAGGAGGAGGAGGAGAGGAGGAAGGAGATGCGGGGCCCCATCTCTTCCCCCAACACCACAGGATGGTTGGGAATAAGCAGGGGCGCCATGGAATCTGGGGAGATATCATGGCCCTCCTCATGATATCCACTCCCCCGAGTCATCACCCACCTCTCTGCCGCCCCCGACCTCAGCGTATCCTCGACTGCCGTACTGGACCTGTTGAGGAGAACGCTTCCCGTGTTGGGAGGAAGGGTTGAGGAGGATGAGGGAAACGAGCAATAGTTTCCGGATGCAATGGACGATACCTTCGGCCGCCTACGGGTAAGGGTATCCTTACGTGTCCCAACCCCATCCTCCCATCCCGATGGTTGTCTTCCTGACCTGTAGGCTGTGGGGAAAGCCGTTGTGGACACCCGAAACGGATACGGTAAAAATGGGTACAATGCCCAACAAATCTTGTCCCAAACCAACAGCGGCCGCTGTTGGGCAGGCGGCCCTTTGTCTCAACTGGACACAGGCCGCAGCGGCGCAGACAGCGAGTCCTGTTCGAAATGAAAAGGAACTGCTGTTGGGGGCATTGTGCCCATTCTTTCCGTACCCATGTCGTTCGTGCCGATGCGGGTAAGGATATCCTCACGTGTTCCAACCCCATCCTCCCAACCCGATGGTTGTCTTCCTGACCTGTGGGCTGTGGGTGCACGGTTTCCCCCGGGGCCGTAGGCGACCCGAGAAGGAGGAGGAGGAGGAGGACGAGGACGAGGTGGAGGGGGAGGAGGAGGTGGAGGAAGGAGGAGGAGGAGGAGGAGAAGGAGGAGGAGGAGGGCGGGTCGCCTAAGCCCTTCGGAGAAACCCTCCAGCTGTGGGGACGGCCATCGCGTGCACCTCGGGCTTGCGCGGATGCGACCGGTGCACGGGCGGGCCTCCTGGAGAGCCAAGGGCTCGAGCCGAGGCGGACACAGCCATCGTGTTAGGATGAACGGCACGACTGGCCACGTCGAGCTTCGGACACGAATAGGTCCCCAACCTAGACCTGAAGAGCGGCCTGGCAACCAGAGCCCCTCCTGAGCCCCAAATGATTCTCATTCCAGCGTCTCGGCTGCAGGAGGGCAGCGGAGCAAGCATACAAGGATGTCGAGGAAAACGGGAGGCGACGAGGAGGGGGAGGACAAGGGAACGGGTCATTTGCAGGACAACTCAGCGTACATCCTGCGAGATGCTAGAATTGATGATGCTGATGCTGATGATGATGCTGTTGTTGATCGTGATGGGGATGCTGCTGCTGCTGATGATGATGATGGTGATGATGATGCTGATGCTGCTGCTGATGATGATGCGAATGATGATGATGGTGACGATGTCGATGCTGATGCTGCTGCTGCTAGTGATAAGGATGATGATGCTGATGATGCTGATGCTGATGATGATGACGATGACGATGAGGATTACGATGCTGTTGGGGAGCTTGGCGAGGATGGGTATGGTCAACTTCTAGACTGAACCGATGGTCGAACAAACACTTGAGACAATTGAAACTACCTCGCCACATTCATTGCGACTGCGGAGGCCTCGGTGTTCTGCGACCCCTTCTGCCCATGGATCTGCACACGTCAAATGTCCGCCGCCCCCGCCAGCCCCCATGCCCTAACTGTTGGGGTGAGGAGTCGTGTGAGATGCTTGCTCCCCTCCCCCTCTGACTCTTTTGTGAGTTCCCTCCAACATGCCTCCAACATGCCCTCAAGCAGCTGGCAAAAAAGGCCTGAAGGGGGCCACAGTGCCTCATGCGTGTGCCCACTTTGTGTTCCCACGTCAGGCCAACCACCATGAATCCGATGGTTTTCGCAGTCTTCGATTTATCACCTTGTCGATATGGCCCAAGAGCACCAAGGGCCTCAGGAGCACAGCGCGAGGGCTCCTAAAGACCTCCAATAACCGTCTACAACAAAATACCCGCGAACGCCTTTGTGGATCACTCCTGATGGCTTCGAAACGGAAGGGAAGGATCCCCCTCTCTACTCTCCTACAGCTTCTCGACTTCCCCTCTCCCGACGCGCCTGGCCATCACTTCTGGATGGGCTGAGGATGCACGAAGCGCTAGGACATGTCTCCCGGACCATCGAGGTCCCCAAATGATTCCACGCTGGCTC